TAAAGAGAGAGAATGAACTCCCTAAATTATCACATTCACCATGCTTGCTTCACATTACTCTACTGCTAATGCTTGGCCTGCTAGGAGGACTACCTGTTAAACATTCAAAAGGACCAGTTCAAATGCCATCACTGTCATGAAGACTTGCTTGATCCTTGTGTCTGACTAACCATGTCCTATAAGCTCTCCAAGTAGTTTTTATTTTTATTTCAGCACTTATCAAATTCTGCTTTGAATTATGGTAATATGTGCATTTGTCTGATCCCTTACACTTTGGATGACTTTCCTTGCATTTAGAAGCCATGTTCTGCCAATATTATCCACAACTCCCAGTATTATGCTTAAAATAAGTACTCAATAATTGATTATTCAATTTACTTTAGAGAGCTCAATGTAGTAATTAAGAAGACTCCAGTGACAGTCATTATCACCACAATATCTGTTAAGAAATCATTAATGTGTTCCTTCCTTGTCCTAAAAAGTTTAAAATTCTTTAGATTATTATTTTATTTTTTATAGATGTTGGAATACAGTTGTCTCCATTTTCCTACCATCATTTTCCCCCACCCTACCCACATCCACCTCCTACCCTCAATCCCATGTCCCCTTGGTTCCACCCATGAGCCCCTCTTACGGGTTCATTTATATCCTTTTCCCTTCTTCCCCACATTATTTCCTTCTCCCCTGTCCTCTGGTCACTGTCAGATCATTGTTGATTTCAATGTCTCTAGCTATATTTTGCTTGCCAGTTTATTTTGTTAATTCGGTTTCACTTATAGGTGAGACCATATGGTATTTGTCTTTCACTGCCTGGCTTACTTCACTTAGCATAATGCTCCCCAGTTCCATCCATGTTGTCATGAAGGGTGGGAGCTCCTTCTCTCTTTCTGCTGCATATTATTCCATTGTACATATACCACATTTTATTGATCCACTCATTTACTGATGGCCAGCTAGGCTGCTTCCAATGCTTGGCTATTGTAAATTGTTCTGCTATGAACAAACAATCAATTAAAAAATGGGCAAAGGATCTAAACAAATACTTCTCCAAGGAGGACATACAGAGGACCCAGAGACATATGAAAAGGTACTTGGCATCACTACCCATCAGAGAGGTACATATTAAAACCTCAATGAAATACCACTTCACACTGGTCAGAATGACCATCATAAACAAATCAACAAAACATAAGTGCTGGTGGGGTTGTGGAGAAAAGGAAACCCTAGTGCAATGTTGGTGGGAATGCAAGCTGGTGTAGACTCCATGGAAAACAGTATGGAATTTCCTCAAGAAACTAGAAATGGAATTGCCTTTAGATTATATTTTAATGAAATTTTGTGATGAAAAATAACAAAAAATACTCTGTGTATTAGTCTACTCATATGAAGCTGGTTTATGAATTCAAAGGGATTAGAGAAAATTGGTCTCGTATATTGCAGAACCCAATGAGTTGTAATTTTTTCTTCTATAAATGAAAAAGTTTACATGAAATTCTAGGAACATTACTGGGTCTCATTTAACTGTCAGTAATAAAAGAAAAGTTGTGTGTGTCCATGTGTGTGCATGACTCTCAACAATTACTTTACCAATTCTGATTTCTCATTAAATTTTGAAGGAATCTGAGCAAACAGAATAAAGATATATTGAAAAGAACAATAAAAGTCATAAATGTGTACCACATTTCAGATTGAAAATACAAAGTATTTATATTAGATGTTCAAAATTTTGTTCCACTTTTCCAGAAAGTCAAATACTTGACCCTTGCCATTGACCTTGCCCTGAAACAACAAAAACTTTGATATTTACTGGACTTAGTTATCTCCTGGACAATGCCCTAAATAATCTAACTTGCTATCATTTTGTTTTCAGTAGCCTAATAACCAGATTGGCATACAAAATTATTGCAATGAAATTTGCCAAAGTTTCTCTCTGAAAAACCAAAAGAGATTAGCCCCAAGCAAAACGGCAGCAACTCTTGGCTTATAAAGGGAAAAGGGGATATTTTAAAATATGAAAGACAAGTTGTTTTTTTTTTTGGCAGTAATTTCTAAGATATATAAAATACCTTAGAAATTTAATGTGACTCCTGAAAATGCCATTTTGATAGCTAATTTTCAGTAGAAGTTTAAACAGAAAGAAAAAGGAGGGATTTTTATGAAAGAGATACAATCCACGGGAGGAAAAAATAAAGACAAATAAATGAATTCAGGAGGACAGCATAAATGCCCAGGAAAGTATAAGGAACAGACATCAGATATGCCCCAGGGTGTTCTCTCTTTATCTCCTTGGATCTCTTCATTTCCTTGAGAACCCAGCCTGATTTTATAGCTTATGACCTGAGCCAGCAACATCCTGGTATGTCTGCTAAAAGTTCAAACCACTAACACAAAAGTAGACGTGTCATAATCACAAAGACAGGTCTGTTTGTTCATTTCATTTCATTATTAAATTCACAGGTAAATTTGAGTTCATAATGGCAGATGATGGGGCTTGGAGGTCAAATAGTTCTGGAGGCTCAGCTGTCACCTATTTTTGTAAATATGCCTTAACAGTCATAATAAAAAAATAAGCAGATTGAACAAGTTAATTTAAGTAGCCACGAAAAAATATTTAAAAAGGTTATTTTTCTCATGCATTTTAAAATTACCAGAAGGCTGTTTAATTATTGAAGTATTTCTTAAAGGTTGAAGACACATGAGTGGAATGAATTATCACTGTCATCTACATTAAGAACACATTAATTGGTTATGTGCCACAGTTTTATCTTGCCATTAGGCTGTGCTGTCTGAGGTTATAATAGAAAAATGGTTTCAGAAAAAAAAGATTATAAAGCATAATTTCCATTTCTCAAGTGTCTGTCAACAGACTAATGGCTATAGAAAATGTGGTACATATACAATGGAATATTATCCAGCCACGAAAAAGAAGAACCTCCTGCTACTTGTGACAACATGGATGGATCTTGAGGGCATTATGCTAAGTGAATAAGTCAGACAGAGAAAAACAAATACTTTACAATATCACTTACATGTGGAATCAGAAAAAAAATCTAAGAAACAAAGAGTGGAATGGTGCCAGTAAGTGCCTGGGAATGGGGAAGATGGGGAGACCTTGGTTCAAGGGTACAAACTTCAAGTTATTACATGAACACATTCTTGAAAATACTCAAACATAAGATAAAATGATGATTAGTCATGATAAATGTGAGTAAAAGTACCATAACTTTAGACAAAAATTTGTGTATGCCTATATACATATACACATATATATACAGTGTAATATTATTCAGTCATAACAAGAAATGAAATTCTGTTATGTGCTACAATATGGATAAAACTTGAAAACATTGTGATAAGTGAAATAAGTCAGACAAAAAATATACTGTATAATTTTACTTATTAAAGAACCTAGAATAGGCAAATTCATAAAGACATGAAGTAGAATGGAGGTTATCAGGGGCTGGGGAGAGGGGGGACAGATTTTCTGTTTGGAATTATGAAAAATTCTAGAAGTGGATAGAGGTAATGTTCACACAACATTGTAAATGTACTTAATGGGACTTAATTGTATACTTTAAAAGGGTTAGCCCTGGCTGACATGGCTCAGTGAATTGAGGACCAGACTGAGAAGCAAAGAGTTTCTGGTTTGATTCCCAGTCAGGGCACATGCCTGGGTTGTGGGCCAGGTCCCCACTAGGGGGTGCATGAGAGGCAACCACACATTGATGTGTCTCCTCCTCTCTTCCCCTCTCTCTAAGAATAAATAAATAAAATGTTTTTTAAAAAGGGTTAAGATGATAAAATTTATGGCAATTAAAATAAATGACTAAACATTTTAAAAAATCACTTCCTCATAGAGCAGATATTCTGTTCACAGTGAGATTAAATGTCTAACACCTTGGACGTGGTTACACAGTCCCATAAAAAGCTCCATATGTGAATTCAGAGATTTTTTTTCTCCAGTCTCAGCTCTATCACTTCCTAGTAGTAAAAATTTGAGTAAGTCGCCAAGGTCCTTTGTGCTTTATTTTCTTCCAGTTACAGTATCCAACAAAATTCTTTTCAGGGCAAAAGTAAAAGAAAATTATTCATAGGAATTGCTTTATAAACTCACACAACTTTACTAGTGCATGGGGGCAATTTATATTGTATATTCCTCTAAGGTGTTTAGTCATGAAAGTCTTATCACTAAAATATATTTATTACTTGCTATTTAAATACTCTATAATATTGTTTTTATTGGTAAGATTCAGCCAAAGTGGCTTTAGACATTTTTTCTCTATGAAAAGTATCAAATCATAGTTTATAGAGTAAAAAAAAAAAAAAGCTAATTTTCTGAGGAAACACATTCCTAGTTACCATTCTTAGAGTGAATAGGTCACTAAACTTTTTCATTCATGCTATTTCTGTACCTTTTGTTCATTGTTTAACCTCATTGTACATACCATAGGAAGGAGGGACAACTATATTTTATCTTGTGTAGAAAATAAATGATCTTCAATTTACTTAATTACAATATTTTGTAAAGATTTTATATATTCATTTTTTTAGAGAGAGAGGAAAGAAGGGGGAAAGAGAGGCAGAGAAACATGAATGTGTGGTTGCCTCTTGTGCACCCCCTACTGGGGACCTGGCCCACAACCGAGGTATGTGCCTTGCCTGGGAATCTAACTGGTGACCCTTTGGTTCATAGGCCAGCACTCAACCCACTAAGCCACACCAGCCAGTGCTAATTACAAGTATTTTAAAAACATACTTTGCTGCATGCCCTCATCTTCTATTCCAACCATTTTCAGTCTCTAACATTATCAGACACATGACAGTACTTTGATGTGGCATGTTATCCAATGAAACATCATGTAAAACTCTTTAGATACATAATTACATTGAAATATAAGTAGTTAAAAAGTGACTTAAATTATTTGATAGAACATCATAAATTAGCACCAAAATCAATGTGGTTGAAACAAATATCAACTAATTTTTTGTTTCCCCCTTAGTGGTTACATCTTTGACTATGAATACTACAGAGATGATTTCTACAATCGGTATGTAAATTTTCCTTCTAGTTTTCCTTTGATTTAAATTGTCTTTTAAGTATTTTGTACATTTCATTCACAGATATTCTTGATTAATATGTCTATAATAATATTTTATAGTAAAAAAAAGAAAATACTAAGTTCCCCCAAATATGACTTAACCAGATTTTCCTATTTTCATTGTATTCACCGAAGTAAGTGCTAAGTGCTAAAAATAGCCTAAGTACCCATCAGTGGATGACTAGATTAAAAAAGTGTGGTACATTTTCACAATGAAATACTGTACATCAGAAAGAAAGAAACTCCTACCTTTCATGAGAGCATGGATGGAACTAGAGAATATTATGCTAAGTGAGATAAGCTAGATGGTGAAAAACAAATATTACATGATCTCAGCTAGAAGAGGAACCTAATGAACAAAACAAACAAATGAGCAAAAAAGAACCAGAGGCATAGAAACAAGGAACAGACTGACAGCAACCAGAGAGGAGAGAGGAGGAGGATAAGGGTGGAAAGAAGGGGAAGGGACTAGTCAAAGAACATACATGAATAATCTATGGACATGGACAACAGGGTGAAGAATGACTGTGGGAGTCAGGGGTGGGTTGGGCAGAGGAGGACAAAGAGAAAAAAACTGGGACAAACTATAATAGAACAACAAAATAATTATAAAAAATAAAGTAAAACTTGGACTTTTAAGATTTTGGAGGTGCTTAAGCCTAAAATTTGTTGTCTGATGTTTAGATAATATTTCAGAGATTTAATTAACCAATATTATTTTCCGGGTCCTTTATTGACTTAGAATTCCTCAAGATATTTTTTTAAGCTCAGAAAATGACTTCAACCTTCTAAAATACATCTATTTTTATGTGACACATTGAAAATGCTAAATTGGTTAGATTCAGCAAAATATACTATACACTTGATCTGCATAGTAGTGTGGGACCATAAAAGGAAATGATGCAAAGTGATGTTAATAAATCAGCGGGAAAAAAATAAGACTTTCTATGCTCTTTACAAATATTTATTAAAACATTAAAAACTCTCTTATTATAGGTTATAAATTTGTAGGAGAAATATTAAACTAATAGTTATTTAGTACACTATTATTTAAAACATTAAAAATATTGAGAGTTAATGTGTTTTGTTTTTTTTGTAAAAAATACTTATCTAAAATAGTTTGAGCAGTGTTTTCTTCTTGTGTAACTTACAGTATGGAGCCAGCAGCTGTTTCGTGCCTGGTGAGTTGTACAACTCCTAAGGGTGGATCAGCTTGGAGGATTTATCAGTGTTGAGAACTGTGTCCCAGGTCTTTAATGGGGAATTCGCTCCCTTTGTCACTTCTGGGATATCTTCCTTAATTTTCATCAGATCACAACCACTTTCCTATTTATGTCAATATGTTTGCTTTTTCTAAATTCCTCTAGCTCCACATTTAGAGTTTCAACTGGAAGCAGGTCAATCACCTCGGTATTAACTTTTTGTCCCATAATTACATTATATATTTTAATTTCACTGCCAATGGTATAATCTTCGGTTCTTGATGCTCTTTCATCTTTGTTGACTAGTTCCCTCTTTTGGTAATCCATTTTTGTAAAATGTTCCCTGATTCCTTATGAAACAGGAGACAATACCATCTGACATCTCCTGTCTATGTGACCTGAGTGAGAGACGAAAGCAACACATCATTGACAGTCTTTAAAAGAAATGATGTAGACTTCCACCAAGATGGAGACATAGGTGGAGGAACCACCTTGCCTCTGTGCACAACCAAATCTAAGAACAACTATTTTTAACAACAATCACAACCAAGCCACATGGAAAATCGACAATACGGAGTCCAAAGACATCTAAATGCTCAGCTAAACTGGTAAGAGAAGCGAAACCAGCAGCGGAGCAGGTTAGCAAGAAAAAATTCCCGGGTGGTGCACGGAGCACAAGCAGCCGAAGGCGCTGATCGAGAGCTAGCTACCGAGCGCACAGGGAAGAGGCGTGGCGGGCTGTCTGTGATCTGTCGGTCAGTCGCGCATCTGCGTGGGGAGAAACCAGTGAGAAGGGAAGCCTGCACGGGGCAGCAGGCTCGCACAATTCCGATTGGATAAACAAGGGCGAGTGCTGTGACTGGACGGGCTGGGCTAGCGGAGAGGAACGCCATTGCTCCTTCTCTGACCACACCCCCACACACAGCATCACAAACCAGCGACCTGGGTTGCCCCGTCCTGGTAAACAACTAAGGCTTGGCTCCGCTTACTTGACAGCACGAATAGACCAAAAATGGCTCTAGGACAACTCAGAGCCCCAGAGCAAATAAATCTAAGCAATGAAGAAATAGCCAGTCTTTCAGATGCACAGTTCAAAACACTGGTTATCAGGATCCTTACAGAACTGGTTGATTTTAGTCACAAATTAGAGGAACATATGGAAGCTAAACTAATTGAAATGAATGGTAATAAAAAGGAAACCAATAGTAATGGAAAGAAAATTGGGACTCAAACCAAGGGTATGGACCAGAAGGAAGAAAAAAATGATCAAACAGAAAAGAATGAAGAAATAAGAATTCAGAAAAATGAGGAGAAGCTTAGGAACCTCCAGGACATCTTTAAACGTTTCAACATCTGAATTATAGGGGTACCAGAAGGGGGAAAGGAACAGCCACCAGTGGAAAACTTATTTGCACAAATAATAAAGGAAAATTTCCCCAATCTGGCAAAGGAAATAGACTTCCGGGAAATCCAGGAAGCTCAGAGAGTCCCAAAGAAGTTGGACCCAAGAAGGAACACACCAAGGCACATCATCATTACATTAGCCAAGATTAAAATGAAGGAGAGAATCCTAGAAGCAGCAAGAGCTAAGGGGACAGTCACCTACAAAGGAGTTCCCATCAGACTGTCAGCGGATTTCTCAAAAGAGACCTTACAGGCAAGAAGGGGCTGGAAAGAGGTATTCCAAGTCATGAAAACCAAAGACCTACAACCAAGATTGCTCTACCCAGCAAAGTTTTCATTTAGAATGGAAGGACAGATAAAGTGCTTCTCAGATAAGACCAAATTCAAGGAGTTCATCATCACCAAGCCCTTATTATATGAAATGTTAAAGGGACTTACCTAAGAAAAAGAAGATAAAAAAGATAAACAGTGAAAGGACAGCAAACTCACAGTTAGTAACAACCACACCTAAAACAAAAGCAAACTAAGAGGACAGCTAGATCAGGAGCAGAACCATAGAAATGAAGATCTCATGGAGGGTTAGCAACAGGGGAGTGGGAGGAGGAGAAGGGGGGAGAAGGTACAGAAAATAAGTAGCATAGACAGTAGATAGAAAATAGATAGGGGGGAGGGTAAGAATAGTAGGGGAAATACAGAATCTAAAGAATTTGAGACATGTGTGCATGAACTAAAGGGGGAAATGGGGGGAGGGGTATGCAGGGTGGAGGGGAATGGAGGGGGGAATAGAGCAAATGTAATGGCATAATCAATTAAAAAAATTTAAAAAAAAAGAAATGATGTGACTGATGGCTGATCATGAGGCATCATGATGTATGGACTGAAAACCTAGCTAAGTTTGGACATTATAAAATTTCTCACAGATAATATATTGTGGAAACTAAAATTTGATTTGTGCTTTTAGGGGACTGGTGTTATTTAATTAAACATTGGTTGAAATTCAAAAATATACAAAGCAAAAACTCACTGTACATAGATCATTGGAGGCCCCAAAATGATGTAAATATCTCTTAGGCCTTAAATTATAAATTTTATTCAGTTTTGCTTATCTTTGTATCCATAGGTACCTTCATGAAATCTAACACACAATGGAAACCCAGTTTGTACTATTAAGTCACCTCCTTACATTTAAATGGACTATGGTTTTTCCAAAAGTCACACAGTTAATGAGTACAAAACTGCAAACATAACCTATCAATTTAGATTCAATAACCCCCTATATGAATATGCAGGACAGAGTCGAGTTAAATAACAGGAGGAAGCTTTACCTAAGTGGAAACCACACCCACAATCACACCTTTATGACCAGCATGTCTACTTCACTAACTAGTCCCTCGTGACCAAATATGAATTTTTAAGAATTATTTTCTCAAACTATTTCTGTTATTTCTATAAAATATATTACTTTATTTTAAATATTAAATACTTGTAATAACTTGTCCTTAAAAGTGACGTGAAGTTCCGACAGCCTTAAAATAATTTATTTGCTATTAAGGAGACATAACATTTAGATGATATTCAAACTATTTGAAAATTTTAGTGTTTAACAATTGAAAAGACATTACTAATGAAGGTTTTTTTTCAAGTTACAGAACAATGTCCTAGTTTCTTTTTTTTCTTTTTTCAGGTTTTTTTTTTTTAATTTTATTTAGTTATTTTTCAAGTACGGTTTTTTTGTCTATTTCTCTGATCTCAGCCCCCAAACCCCATGCTCCCCACCTCCTTCCCTTTATCACACCCCTTAGTTCTCATCCCTGTGTCCTTCCTATTTGTTCCTCCAAATCACTCCCCTTTTTTCCCCTTAAATTCCCTTCCCTCACCCCTCTGGTCACTGTCCCCTTGTTCTCTATTTCAGTGTCTTTGTTTTTATTCTGCTTGCTTCTTTGTTTTGTTGTTTAGCTTCCTGTTAAAGGTGCGATCATATGGCATTCTTTCAACACCTGGTCTATTTCACTCAGCATAATCCTTTCCAGTTCCATCCATGTTGTTGCAAAGGGTAGTAGCTCCTTCTTTCTCTCTGCTGCATAGAATTCCATTGTGTATATGTACCACAATTTTTTGAATCCATTCATTTACTGATGGGCAACTAGGTTGTTTCCAACTCTTGGCTGTAGTACATTGTCCTGCTATGAACATTGTGGTGCATAGGTTCTTTGAAATTGATGTTTTAGGATTCTTAGGATATAATCCTAGCAATGGAATTGCTGGGTCAAAAGGCAAGTCAATTTTTATTTTTCTGAGAAAATTCCATACTGTTTTCCATAATAGTTGTACCAGTCTGCAATC